ACTCAGGCTGTAGAGGTGATAGTGCTGAGACTTAACCCCTAGGCTACCATGGAGGCCACAGTATCTAAAATTTTATCCTTTTAAGGAGGTCAGCTCCTTGAACAGTCCTAGAAATATTTCTGGTAACACACATTTGAATATTGTTATGTACACATACTTAAGTCCTTAGGTTTTCATTTTTGAAAACCTTTCCCTAGCATTTTTGAAAACCTTTCCCTGGCAAAGATAATTTAATTGTGGATTTTGCAAATCTTTAAAATTTAGACTGTAGGATATTACAAGTTAAGGAAACTGGAATAACCATTAAGTATCTTGAGTTAATGTGTATAACATCTATTATACATAATCTAGATCATGTATGCCAGTTTATTTCCTCCTTAATTCCTGAATCTTACCAATCTTACCATGGGTTGTTTTTTTTTTTAAAGATTTATTTATTTGTGCATACAAGAACTGGGGTACAGGCCAGAGGTGTGGGACGGGGTGAGAGGATTCACCAGAGACAGAGAGGGGAACAGATCAGGCAGATTGACTGAAATACACTGCTGAGGGGAGCAGTGGGCGAGACAGAAGAGGTCTGCTGTGCTGTGTGGGTAGTTCCCTGGCCAGGGATTGAACTCGTGCTGCAGAAGCTATGGATAGCCTTACAGTGCTGTGCTCAACCCTTGTGCCACCAGGGAGGCCCACTCTGGTTGTTTTTTTAAATTAATAATATGCTTAAATAATTCTGAGGGTCCATGTCATCTTGACATGGATCACAGTGAAGGGGAAAACATTCCCAGTTAATGAATTGGAAGTGCATTGATACCTAGTTTTAACAGATTTGTAGCAAGACATAAAATTTTATAAAGCCATGCTTCACATTAAAATGAACCTTAATGGACAGGTGTATTTTTGTTTATTATTTTTTGCAGAAAATCACCTCTCTTTGCCCCATGTATGGCAGTCGATTTGGCTATGCCCTTTCCAATGGCACAGTTGGAGTTTATGACAAAACATCCCGCTATTGGAGAATTAAAGTTAGTATGACTTAACCTCTCAATATTCAATAATTTGATCGTTATTGAGAGGCTTCTATATTAATTGTTGAAATTCCTTTTCAGTCCAAAAATTATGCGGTGAGCATTCATGCTTTTGACCTTAATTCTGATGGAGTATGTGAACTGATAACTGGTTGGTCCAATGGGAAGGTAAGTCTAAATAGCAGCGTTCTGAGTATTAACTGTCTGAGATGTATCAGCTATGTGATTCAGAACAGTAACTTGAGAATACAAGCATGTATTGCTGGACTGTGTTTTCAACCTTAACTTCATCCTCTTTCCACATTTTTTTTCTGTAGTGGTCAGTACTATTGAGTAAGTGTCCTTTGGTCGTATAAGCCCTATTTGGGGGGAAATCTCTAGGAAGGTTTTCTCTAAATCTCATCTTTGAAGGAATGAGGATCCATTCAACTAGGATGATCCTAATAAAAAAGGGAACTTTAATAAGCTAATAATGAACTGTTTCTATAGTAGTTTTAATAAGTCTTTGAGAGTTTCTGAAAAATAATGGGAACAATTATGTTATATTGTTTTTCTAGCTGTGACTTCAAAGTAAAATCTTTTTGCTTTCTTTCCCTTTTTAACTTCCAATCAGAATTTCTGCAGTCTTGGCAAGTCAGGATTGTCTTGCTAGAAACTAAAAGGTTGCCAGATCTCCATGGATACCATGTTCCTACTTTTCTGATCTGTCAGTGCTGCATTGCTGGCGAGATCAGTTAATTCCTGTCTTTTCTTTGATTTTCCTTGGCTTTTGCCTGGTACCATATAACCTTCCTTTTGTGCTGTATAAAGAACAGGGTCTAAGCAGCTATTATGTTGGTTCCTGTTTCTCCACCTGATAGAGTCTTTGGTGTGGATATTAAAAACTGTAAGATGAGACTGTGTAGTTACTTGTTAAGAAACTTCAAAGTCTGTAAAATGGACCATATTCTGTGGGAATATAAATTATATTTGATTCAAGAATTAGAAAATACTGGTCTTCAGCTAGCCTTTTGTTGCTAATATATGTGTTCTTGTTTGGAACAAAATCATTTTTGTTGTTTGGAGATACATTTGGTTTCTGATCAGTCAGTTGTTTACCTCTCTTTTTTTTTAAATTTTTTTTTAAAGATTTATTTATTTATTTATACAAGCACTGGGTACAGTCAGAAGCACGGGAGGGTGAGAGAATTCACCAGAGCCAGAGCGGGGAGCAGAAGAGGCAGACCGATGAATATACTGCTGAGGGGAGCAGCGGGTGCGCCAGGAGAAGTCTGCGTGCCATGTGGGACCCTCGCCTGTGGCCAGGGATCAAACCGGCACTGCAGAGGCTGCGGGCAGCTTCGCAGCCCAGCACTCAACCTCTGCACCAGGAAGGCCCTGTTTGCCTCTCTTGAGGAGACTGAAAGAGAACAGGAGAAAGTAAAATATCTGGATGGTTTTGATTGGAAGAGGAGGGTATCTAAAGTGGGTATTATAGAATGTTACGGTGGAAGATTGGGCTAGCTTAAAATTTTTCAAACTTTAGATATAAATATACTTTATACATTTCTATGTAATAAAAATAACCTTTTAAACAGAGCTGACATTTCTTTCATCGTTTATGGGTCAGACCTGTTCCCAGTGCTTTACATGTGTTAACTCTTGTAGGACTCTATAACTCTGTGAGGTGCATGTGCTGTTATTTTCATTTTCTTCTTGTTCCCTGGATGAGAAGCCCAAGCTCAGGATGGTTAAGAAACTTGCCTGAGATCCCATAGGTAGTAAGTAGCAGAGCTGAAATCTGTTTGGGCTTTTGTACTAGGCTGTGTGTACTGTATGTACTGCCTCTCAGCCAATGCATTTCCTCAAATGAAATGTTATATGAAGATCATGATGTAAAATGGCTCCTATCTATTTATTTTAAAGGAAGAAAGCAAGCTGGTTGAGGCCCCTTAATGTCCCCCTGACCCCAATGGTCTTAGGTACCTTCTGAGAAGTCAGAGGCCTCCAGAGGGTGCTCTCGAAAACTGCTAGACAAACTGACATTTGCAACTAATTTCAACTCTAAAAAACTAGCCTAGGCAGTGTTTCAATTTCTTATTTTTGATTTTTTTTTTTTTTTTTTGCAGGTCGATGCTCGAAGTGACCGAACAGGGGAAGTCATCTTTAAAGACAACTTTTCTTCTGCAGTTGCTGGTGTGGTAGAGGGAGATTACCGGATGGATGGCCGCATGCAGTTAATCTGCTGCTCTGTGGATGGGGAAAGTAAATGGGGATGAGGAAAGTAAACAGGGTCGAGCTAAATCCTTGAAAAGTCAGACTTTTAATTTGATTGGGTGGGAATACAAGTTATCCCACTATGAAGCATTAGTATTGATATTCTCTTATTCTAATAATTTCACCCAAGTTGGGGAGATGAAAACATAGGTTTTTGGTTTTTAAGGACATGTAATTGATGACTTGCTACTAGACCTAGTCATGTTGTGACGTTCCTTGTTCTGATGAGTGTTTCTTTTGGTGCAGTCCGGGGCTACCTGCCAGGCACAGCTGAAATGAGAGGGAATCTCATGGACACCAGCATAGAGCAGGACCTGATCCGAGAGCTGAGCCAGAAAAAACAAAATCTGTTGCTGGAACTCCGAAACTATGAGGAAAACGCCAAGGTAGGTCCTAAAGTGAAGGAAATGGGATCTGAAAAGTTTAGAATGACCGGAAGGATTGGCAAATGAGTGTTGATGTCTACCAGAGCCTGGGCTCCCCCCGACTCGCTGGCAGATGTGCCACTGCTTTAGCTTCTTTGCCAGGGCCAGGATTAAGGGGGCATGTATTTGGTCTAGAAATTCTCCATGTATATAACCTAAACTATAGAAATATTTGCAAGGGTATTCAAAGACATTTACTACAGCACTATTTGTAGGAATAAACAGTTGGAGGCCGCTTAAATGTTGATCTGTAGTAGGGAGTATGTCCTAGGGAATTGTAATAAGCAGCTTAAAAGAATAAAGTGCCTATATACTTGGTCTGATAGGGAAGGATATCTGTGGTATTAAGTGAAAAAGCAAGAACAAATACCTTTTTCTTTTTTCTTTTTTTTCCTTTGCGTAGAAGAACTGGGGTGTAAGCCAGAGGTGCGTGGGGTGAGAGGACTCACCAGAGACAGAGGAGCAATACAGGTGGATCCACTGAAGTCCACTAAGGGCAGCAGCAGGAGAGATAGGAGAGGTCTGCTGCATAATCAAATTCAGGCGGTAGAGATGATAGCGCTGAGACTTAACCCCTAGGCCACCAGGAAGGCTTTGTGGCCATATTATTTAAAATTGGTGTTAGTTCACTGTTTTGTTGACTGAGTTGGAAGTGAATGGGGTGTTTTGCAGGCTGACTTGAGCAGCCCACTGAATGAGGCTGATGGGCATCGGGGCATCATCCCAGCCAATACCAAGCTCCACACTGCCCTCTCGGTGAATCTGGGGAGTGAGATTCAAGCTGCTCATGCAGAATTGTGTATTTCCACATCTAATGGTAAGAAATTATTTATTGCTGGCTTTGTAGGCACCTGTGCCATCTTGGAGTGATTCTTGAGATGCTGTTTTCTCTCTTCTTTGCAGACACTATCATCCGAGCAGTATTGATTTTTGCAGAGGGAATTTTTCTGGGTGAAAGCCATGTGGTACACCCCAGCATTCACAACCTCTCCAGTTCAATCCGCATCCCAATCTCACCTCCCAAGGATGTCCCTGTGGACCTGCACTTGAAGGTCTTCGTGGGTTACAGAAGCAGGTGACCCTTTTCAAGTTTCAGTTCATTTCCAGATTGCAATTAGAGGGTAGAGGATGTGTAGACATCCCAGTATGTGATGGCTTTCTGGGGCAGACAAGCCATTTAATGGTCCTACCCTTTCAGGCAAGCTTTTCTATCACCTTTTATTTAAGGGGAAAAAGGGCATTTAAATTTTAGTTGGTATTTTCTGGTTTTAGTCAGATGATCTTATAATCTTAAGAGTTCCAAAAATGTGGCTACATGATGATTTATAAACTTCTAATTTTAGCCACTTAGATACTTAGATTACAAGATTTTGACTGTACCTCTTTTTTTTTTTTTTTTTTTTTTTTTTTGGCTGTACCTCTTTAGTAAAGTTATACAGAACCTCACAAGTGAGGAGATGCCACTAGATTTGTAGAAGATGCAGCCTTTTCACGTTCCTTTTAGGGTGTTTTAGTCCCTTTAGTGTCACTGTAGACTCCTGTTATTTCTAAGTCCCAAGACCTGTGAGTAGTGCTTGAACAAACCTCACATTTTTCTAGGGTTTCTTTTTTAGTGAAACCCTTCGATATCAACATGATGACCCAGTAGTGGTTTTACATTTATTTTGTGGACCTTACATTTTTTGAAATAATGTTCTGTACCAAACAATTCTCTTCCACGGATTGGCCACAGCACCCAGTTTCATGTATTTGAGTTGACAAGACAGCTCCCCCGATTCTCCACGTATGCCCTGACCAGCCCAGATGCTGCCAGCGAACCACTCGGTTATGTGAACTTTGTTATTGCAGAACGTGCTCAGAGGGTGAGTGTCTGGCTTTTTTCTTGCGGTACTTCTGCATTTTAGAATCCTTCAGCTGTTATTTTCTAGGTAGGGGGATGTTACATGAATGTGTCACTTGGTGCAGTGATTATGACATGAAAGTTATGTGGTTTGGAGTTGGCTTATGACCTGTAACAAAAATATTGCTGAAATGGCTTCTCTCATTTTGAAAAACTATACCTGTTATTTACCTGAGCAATTCCTTAATTACAGGTAAATTTTTACCAGTTTTTCATTCCCCTTTTTCTTTTGTTAGGGTCTTAGTATGTTCTTGACGCAGAGTGTCAAGAGCAGCCCATATCAAAATGGAAAGAGACGGGCTTGCAGCTAGGAACACTCTTGGATTCAAGTGTTACCTTAATTAATTAAATTCCTGGCGATCTGGGGAAACTCCCTTGTCTGTTAGTGGGGGTAGTTTTGTAATGAAGTGGACCTCTGATGATCACATAATTAGTGTGACAGCACCTACTATAGCTTAAAGGACTAAGAACCAGCGGACTTTTAACCTTGGCTGGACTTGAGAATTCTCCGTGAGGGTTTTCAATGGTGTAGAATTCAGGATCCTTTTCAGGTTATAGAATCAGAAACTCTAGAGGTAGACTCTTCCAGAAGGCCTCACAGGTGGTTCTTACGTGACACCTGTGTAGCAAACCTCTGTAAAGTATTATTATAATTAATACAAAAACTTATTGTGTAGGTGTAGTCTGTGCTGAGTGTGCATACAGGCTTCGTTTAAATTTTTTTAAAGAATGGAATTTTTTTTTAAAGATTTATTTATGCATATGAGAACTGGGGTACAGGCCAGAGGTGCAGGGGGTGAGAGGATTTACCAGAGACAGAGAGGGGAACAGAACAGGCAGACTGAAATACACTGCTGAGGGGAGCAGCAGGTGAGTCAGGAGAGGTCTGCGCCATGTGGGTAGCTCCATGGCCAGCCAGGGATCAAACTTGTGCTGCAAAGGCTGCTGATAGCTTCACAGTGCTCTGCTCAACCCCTGCGCTACCAGGGAGGCCCTGGAATGGAATACTTTTAAGTAGATTACATTATCCAGGAGATAGCACCAGATAGCTATCATGTAAACAGGATTAGCATTATGCCCAAGTCATTTCTATATTGTGTGTGAGATTATGTGTAAGTAGAAAATGAAAATTGTAGAACCAGATGTAACTACAAAGGTTACTTAAGAACATGTATAAGGTGGGAAGAGGGAACGTACTTTAAAAATGGAAATTCATTGCATCCTATTCATTTTTAAGGTTGTTATGTGGCTCAGCCAGAACTTTCTGTTACCAGAAGACATTAACATTCAGAATGCTCCATTTCAAGTGTGTTTCACATCCTTACGGAATGGTGGCCAGCTGTATATAAAAATAAGACTTAACGGAGAGGTAATGTTTATTGTGATGGACATAGATTTTGTATGCAGTATTTACCTTTTAGTGCAAAGTGAGGCACCAATTTCAAGGTCATAAAATCACATTTCAATTTAGTCTGTTGTGTTATCTTTGTAGGCACTGAGGTATAATCTATCTAGAACAGTGGTTTTCTGTCTTCCTCCTTCTTACCCTGTACCTCTTCTAATTTGGAAAGGGTTGGGACTATAGAGGAAAACACTTTCACTGTTCGAGTGATTTTGTTATTTATTTTGGAAGGCTAGAGTATCCATCTTTTAGCCTGCTGCTAGAAATAATGAATTTGATTTGTAATTTCCTTGAGGGCTATCCTTATCTTAGTCATCACCACATATAAATGTAAGCTCCATAAATATGTTGAATATGGGGAAATTTAGTCCCATTTCAGCTAAATTTGTATGAGACAATATCTGAGATTGCTAAACTTGTCTCTTTTTTTTCTCTGGATAGATCACCATAAATACTGATGATATTGATCTGGCTGGCGATATCATCCAGTCAATGGCGTCATATTTGCTATTGAAGACCTTCAGGTAGAAGCTAATTTCCCCATCTACTTTGAGGAATTACGAAAGGTGCTGGTTAAGGTGAGGACGCCAAGTAGAGGCATTTGTGAGAACATGATCATCCAATAGTCTTTGAAACATCTTTGAAACATTTCTCTTAGAATATTAACAATACCACAAATACATGTAGACGATAGTCATGTTTTAAAGTAGTTATGCAAATTCATAAAGTCAAAATTGAACAAGTATTGGAGAATCTACTCATTAAAGAATTTCTTCTATAAAAGTGAGTGGTTGGCTCTTGACTGTCTGCTTTCTTGCTTAGTTTAGGGGGACACTTTACATTTTTAATAGCATTTTCCTTTGCAAGTCCTCCATCTTGTCTCTAGTATTTATTTGCCTCCCTGGTTTCGTGCTTTAAACAACCCAAAATCAAAAGAAAAAAAGAAAAACAAGGATTGTGACCTGTTCCAGTTATGACGGCATTGCCACCCAGGTCCCTGGAGTGTTAATATGTGTGTTGCTAGGACTGGGAGTGCTAAGACAGGGGACGGATCCAAGTGGAAGGTTGTCTTCAGTGTGGGAGGCAACGCAGACTGTCTCAGTGAGGAGCCAAAGCATGAGAGAGAGAGAAGATGGCATCCTCAGACAGGGGAAAAAGAAGGCCAGTGTGTTGTAGACAGTGTCTTCCTAATCTGATTAGTTTTAAAGAAGTTTGTGAGGCCTTTTTGATTCCTCAGTGTTTGTGGTCTCTAGGTGGATGAATATCATTCAGTGCACCAAAAGCTCAGTGCTGACATGGCTGACAATTCTAATCTGATCCGAAGTTTGCTGGTCCGTGCTGAGGATGCTCGTCTGATGAGGGACATGTGAGTATTTATCATGACCAGGACAGATGTAGGGTTAAAAATGTCAGCACTATGGAATAGCAGCTCTTCGATGCTACTGGTAGGTGCGTGAATTGGTACATTGACTGTGGAAAATAACTTGGTGTTGTCAGTAAAGTTGAGAATGTGTACTCCTTATGACCCAGCAATTCCACTCTTGGTTTATAACTTAAAGAAACTCATGTACATATAAACCAGGACATTTTTTTTTAAATCTTTTTTTGGTGAAGAATTGGGGTGTAGGCCAGAGGTATAGGGAGTGAGAGGATTCACCAGCGACAGAGTGGGAAGCAGAACAGGTGGATTGACTGAAATACACTGCTTAGGGGAACAGCAGGCAAGACAGGAAAGGTCTGCTGAGCCATGTGGGTCAGCTCCCTGGCCAGGATTCGAACTCAGGCCATAGAGGTGAAAGAGATGAGATTTAACCCTTAGGCCACCATGGAGGCCTTAAACCAAGCTTTTTGGTGTAAGTATGCTTGTAAAGGCATTGTTCATAAGAATACCAAATGGGGGCCTCCCCGGTGGCACAGCGGTTGAGTACTGGGCTGCAAAGCTGCCTGCAGCCTCTGCAGCGCCGGTTTGATCCCCGGCCACCAGCGAGGGTCCCACATGGCACGCAGACCTCTCCTCTCGCGCCCGCTGCTCCTCTCAGCAGTGTACTTCATCAGTCTTCCTGTTCTGCTCCCCGCTCTGGCTCTGGTGAATTTTCTCACCCTCCTGTGCTTCTGACTGTACCCAGTGCTTGTATAAATAAATAAATAAATCTTTAAAAAAAAAATATATATACCAAATAGGAACAATTCAAACTAACCTCACCAGAGTGATTGCCCTGTTATGATGTGTCCACACGGTGGAATGCTGCAGCACCACAAGAATGCAGGTATCACGGTGACATGTAACGTGGACAGATCTCAGAAATGTAATGAAGATTGGAAGATGTAAGACTCAAAAGACTATGTAAAAAATGCTTCCATTTATATAATTTGGAAATGGACAAGATTAAACCATATCATTGGGAAGCATACACAGGTGATAAAAAAATATAAAGAAATGCAGGGAACAGACTATCATATGAGAGAGTGTTTTCTCCCAGGGGAGGAGGGACTTCTGAGAAAGAACATACTGGGAAAGTGCTGGGATGCTGGCACTCTCCTGCCTCTGACCTGGTCAGCACATAACTTCCTCTATCACTGGTGAAAAATTTTACTGAATCAGTCTCAGTTTATTCTGTCCCCCTCCAGGAATTATTATATCATTTTGCGTTCCCTTCAGTACTCTAAGAGAGTCCCTGTTTGCCTTTAAACTTGCCTTGATTATTTACTGATTTGATGGATGAGAAATGGTCTCGTTTTAATTTAATTAAATTTTTTTAAAAATTTATTTATTTATACAAGCACTGGGTACAGTCAGAAGCGCAGGAGGGTGAGAGAATTCACTAGAGCCAGAGTGGGGAGCAGAGCAGGGAGACTGATGAAGTACACTGCTGAGGGGAGCAGCGAGCAGCAGGAGAGGTCTGCGCGCCATGTGGGACCCTCACCGGTGGCCTGGGGTTGAACCAGTGCTGCAGAGGCTGTGGGCAGCTTCACAGCCCAGTGCTCAACTGCTGCGCCACCAGTGGAGGCCCTTTAATTTTATTTTATATGAGAAGTGTTAAACATTTTTTATATTGTTTTAAGGGCCATCAGATTTCTTTTGTTGTGAATTGTTTATTTCTTTTGTCTACTATATACTGGTATATTATTCCATTTTTTTAATATGAGTTGTAAATATTTTTGTTCAGTAAATACTTGTGGTTTTTAAAAATTTTATTATTTTGTCAGGTACATGCTTATTAAAATTCTTATATAATCAAATTTATTAGCCTTTTCCTTAATGCCTCTATATTTTGAGTTCTAATTAGAAAAGTCACTTTTTGTGCCAGGTATAGAATGATTCACCTATGTATTCTTTTGGTAGATTTATGTTTTCCTCTTTTACGTTTGAGTCGGTGTTCCAGTTACCCTGGTATTTGGTATAATAAATTCAGTTATATTTTTTCTATATAACAGTTTTTTGGTTTTAATATGACTGCTTTGAGATGCTGACTTTTGTCATATATTTTCATATGCAGTTGTGTCTTTTCAGAATTTTCCATGCCAATCTTTTGGTTTATCTTGTGTCTTCATTAGACAGTACCATTTTGTTAATATCTGGTGTGGCTAGGTGCCTCTACCCTCACCCTCTGTTGCTCTTTTGTTTTTTATAGTTTTCCTGGCTACTTGTACTTGTTTGTTCATTCCAGTGAACATTAACAGTTTATTATTATATTTAGTTATATTAACCAGAAAATAAAGGTAGGAATTTTTATGGAGGTCACATTAAGGTTATTTACTTAGGAAGACCTGACATCATTACAGTGATGTTCAGTCTTGCTAGATAAACACATGATGTCTTTATATATGTTTAAATTATGTTTTATATCTTTCAGGAGTATTTGATGATGGTTTTTCATGGTGATATTAGACATTTTCTTGTTAAATTTAAGCCTAGGTATTTTCTTTTTGCAATTGTAAATAGTATTTTTCTTCTACAGTGTACCTCTTGTTTTTTTGTTTGTATCTAAGCACTATTAATTTTTGTATGTTGATTTTACAGTCTACCACTTTTTAAATCAGAGTTATTGCTGGCGTTAGGTACTTGGCTATGCTAAACTGGAGAGAAGTGGCCGCCAAGCTCTAAATTCTTTTTTCCTTGAATTATTTATATTTCATTCAGAGACCCTCATATGTATATATTTGTTTTTATCTTTTAAAGTCATGTTAGTTGATACATAATTTATAATTTAATTCAGGAAATTTACCCTTTTCATATTTGTTATTGTTACTTTTGCTTGTACATTTTGAGAAACTTATGTAATTGTGTTACTGCTGCCAAAGTCACGATAGACTCTTTCCATCATCCTTGTGCTTCTGCAAAGGTACCTCTCTTAATCCCCAGTCCCTGATTTCTCTCCCTATAGATTTACCTTTTCTAAGGTGTCATATAAAGGACCTCCCTGGTGGCTTAGGGGTTAAATGGCTCATCACAGTGGCCTGAGTTTGCTTTCCAGCTAAGGAGCTGACCCACGTGGTGTATCAGACCTCTCCTGTCTTGCCCACTGCTCCCCTAAGCAGTGTATTTTCAGTAGATCTACTTGTTCTGCTCCCTACTCTGTATCTGATGAATCCTCTCACCCCCTGCATCTCTGGCCTACACCCCAGTTCTTCTATGCAAAAATAAAATCTTTACTAAGATATTTATCTCTTTTAAAAAAAAAAAAAAAGATGTCATATAGGGCCTCCCTGGTGGCACAAGGGGTTAAGACGCAACCTGTGAAGCTATCCGCAGCCACTGCAGCATGAGTTCAATCCCCGGCCAGGGATCTGACCCACATGGTGCAGCAGATCTCTTCTGACTCACCTGCTGCTCCCCTCAGCAGTGTGTTTCAGTCCATCTGCCTGTTCTGTTCCCCACTCTGTCTCTAGTGAATCCTCTTACCCCACACCTCTGGCCTGTACTCCAGTTCTTATATGTATAAATAAATAAATCTTTAAAAAAAAAAGTCATATAAAGGAATAAATCATAGCGTATAGACTCTTGAGTCTGACTTTTATTTGCCCTGATGGCTTTGAAGTTCATCCATGTTGTGACAGTAAGTGTTTTGCTTACCCAGTCACCAGTTCACATTTGGGTTGTTTCCAGACTTTGGTGGTTGTGAATAAAACTGCTAGAAACATTTGCATACAGGTTTTTTTGCTCACATGTTTTCATTCATTTGGGGTAAATATTTTGCATAGTGGGATTGCTGTGTTGTAAAGTAGGTATATGTAACTTTATAAGAAACTCCCCAAATCCTTTTCCAAAGTAGCTGTCCCACTTTGCATTCCCATCAGTTGTGCAGGTGACCTCCAGTTGTTCCATGTCCTTCCACCATTTGGTATTACTATTTATTTTATTTTATTCCTTTTCATCATTGTACAGTAATGTCTTACCATGGTTTCAATTTTATGCATTTGGTTTTAAAACCTAGATAAAATATGAAGCTGAATTGTTTAGTTATGTCAAGGAGGTTTATTTTTTATTAAAAATAGGTCAGTTTTGTTTAGTGATTATTACTCTGAAATTTGGGTTCTAGCCTGTCACCTTGCTCACTATCCTCCCAGCACAGTGGGCATATAAAACATGGTAATTCTTGGTTCCTAATTTCAAACAAATGCTGGATTAATAACCAAAGGATTTGTCTTCCATTTATTTGGAAGAAATAGAATATTTGATAGAAAATTTTTAATATTCTCAAGGCAAATTTTAGAAGTTAAATTGTTGTAATGACTACATACTAAATATCTTCTGATTTCCTTTCATGGCTAAGAAATTTACAAATGTTTCCATTTAAGCCTGCCATATTGATGTACAATGATGTTAAATTTCTCTTGATTTATGCAGGAAAACAATGAAGAGTCGCTATATGGAACTCTATGATCTTAATAAAGACTTGCTAAATGAATATAAAATTCGCTGTAATAATCACACAGAACTGTTGGGAAACCTCAAAGCAGTAAACCAGGCAATTCAGAGAGCAGGACGTCTGCGTGGTAAGTCTCTTTTCCTAGCATTGTAATTAGACTGTAATTTTGAGGTGAGAACCATTGAAGACGGTGGTGGATTCAAGAACTCATATTAGTAAACCAATGGCACCTTAATAAATGAAAAAAAGCAAAAAAGAATTCACAGTGGGACTAAAGTAGCATACTTTAACACTCATGTTGGTGCTGGCCACTTGAGTTTCAGTTTATCATTTGGCTTTAGTCTCCATACTTTTTTTTTTTTAAAGTTTTGGTTTTTTTTTTTAAAGATTTGTTTATTTATTTATTTATACAAGCACTGGGTACAGTCAGAAGTGCGGGAGGGTGAGAGAATTCACCAGAGCCAGAGCAGGGAGCAGAGCAGGGAGCAGAGCAGGCAGAAGGACCGAAGTACACTGCTGAGGGGAGCAGCGGGCGGCAGGAGAGGTCTGCGCCATGTGGGACCTTCCTCCGGTGGCCGGGGAGCAGCCGGGGATCGAACCATCACTGCAGAGGCTGCGGGCAGCTTCGCAACCCAGCGCTCAACCGCTGCGCTACCGGGGAGGCCCTAGTCTCCATACTTTAAAGGGAAAAAAAACTTTCACCTCTTTTTTTAGACTTTGTATCTTCCAAAGATAAGCTTCATAATCACATATCCAAGAGGCAAGACTTAAATACCCCTATTAGAAAAAAAGAGATACTGAGAATTAATGAGTTGTGTCCAACTTAAAATTTCAAAAAAGAGCATTCTTTTTTTTTTAATTTAAATTTTATTTTTAGGGCCTCCCCGGAGGCGCAGTGGTTGAGCACTGGGTTGCGAAGCTGCCCGCAGCCTCTGCAGCACCGGTTCGATCTCCGGCTGCTCCCCGGCCACCAGAGGAGGGTCCCACATGGCGTGCAGACCTCTCCTGCAGCCCGCTGCTCCCCTCAGCAGTGTATTCTTCATCAGTCTGCCTGCTCTGCTCCCGCTCTGACTCTGGTGAATTCTCTCACACTCCCGCATTTCTGGCTGTACCCAGTGCTTGTATAAATAAATAAATCTTTAAAATAAAATAAAATAAAATAAATTTATTTTTATATTCCCATACAATTACAACCCCATTATTTTGACCCCAATCCTGCCTTTCCCTGCCCCCCACCCCCCATAGAGTGTCTCTGGTTCATAGTTCTTTGTTGATTTTGATATTTTCTTTCTTATAGTTATTCTTTTTCCTGGTCCCTTATTTGAGTTTTCTAGATTCCTGCTATGAGTGAGACCATCCGGTATTTTTCTTTTTCTTTCTGGCTTATTTCACTGAGCATGATCCCTTCCAGCTCCATCCATGTTGCTGCAAATTGCATGTGTTTATCTTTTTTGAATGCTGAGTAATATTCCATGGTATATATGTACCACATCTTCTTGATCCAGTCATCTATTTTTGGGCATTTGGGCTGTTTCCAAAACTTAGCTATTATAAACAGTGCTGCTATAAACATAGGGGTGCAGGTGCTCTTTGGAATTGATGTTTCTGTGTCCTTTGGGCAAATACCTAGGAGTGGAATTGCTGGATCATATGGAAGCTCTATGTTTAGTAGGTCAAGAAATCTCCACACAGCTCTCCGTAGTGGTTGGACCAGTTTGCACTCCCACCAACAGTGCAAGAGCATTCCTTTTTCTCCACAACCTCGCCAACATTTGTTGTTGCTAGTTTTTTTAATATGTGCCATTCTCACTGGTGTAAGATGGTATCTTATGGTAGTTTTGATTTGCATTTCCCTGATTACAAGTGATGTTGAACATTTTTTCATATGCCTTTTGGCCATTTGCATTTACTCTTCAGAGAAGTTTCTTTTTAGCTCTTCTGCCCATTTTTTGACTGGATTATTTTCTTTGTTTTTGTTGAGTCTCATCAGCTCTTTGCAGATTTTTGTGATCAGTCCTTTATCATTAGTGTTGTGTGCAAAATTGTTCTCCCAGTTGGTGGGGTTTCTCTTTGTTTTTCTTATTGTCTCTTTTGCTGTGCAGAAGCTCTTTAATTGAATGTAGTCCCAGCTGTTTATCTTTGCCTTCACTATCACTGCTTTGGGTGATGTGTCTGTAAAGATGTCTTTGATGTGCATATCATGTAGTGTTTCACCTATATTTCCTTCTATGTATTTTATGGTTTCAGGTCTTATGTCTAGTTCTTTAATCTATTTTGAGTTGGTTTTTGTGCATGGTGTTAGGTAGTAGTCAAGCTTCATTCTTTTGCCTGTAGCGACCCAGTTTTCCCAGCACCATTCATTGAACAAACTTTTTTTGCTCCAATGCATAGTCTTTGCTCCTTTGTCATAGTTGGCCATAAATCTGTGGGTTTATTTCTGGATTTTCTATTCATTTCCATTGGTCTGTGTGTCTGTTTTTGTGCCAATACCATGCAGTTTTGATGATTATGGCTTTGTAGTATAGTTTGAAGTCTGGGAGTGTGATGCCTCCATTCCCTTTTCAAAAAAGAACATTCTAACATAAAGGAAGAAGGAATATAGCTAGAGAGGTATGCCAGAAATCTGCTGTTGTAAGTCAATGCTTTGACCTCCTCTTAGAAATAATCTTTGTTAAGGGGGAATGAGCTTTGATTCTTTTCTATAAAACTGACTTTTGGTTTTTAGGTTTGAGATGATTTTTAGGTTTGGTTTTGATGCATTCCCTTATGAAGGTATCTCTTTTAGGGACTGGGTGAAAGAAATTAGTTTAATTTGCATACCATATAACTCTTTACCCTATTTTGCTTTAAAACTGACCTCTGATTTTTAAACTTCACTATATATTTTTTTAACTTTATTTTTAGTAATCTTTTGGAGTGTATTGATTTCTTGTGTCCTTTCATACAGTTGGGAAGCCAAAGAACCAAGTGATCACTGCGTGTCGGGATGCAATTCGAAGCAACAACATCAACACGCTGTTCAGAATCATGCGAGTGGGGACAGCATCCTCATAGCAGATGAAGAAGAGATATTGAGATTCCTCGAAAACAGTTTTTCTTAAAAATTTGGGCTGGTTTGTTTTGGATCATATCCTGGTATACCTGGTGATCTGAGGGTGAAAACAGCCTTTGTGAGCTGTACAAATGAATGACAAAGCATTGCATCTGAAAGATATTCTCGTGTTATTTTTAAATCATTGTTGAGTAGTAATAGGCTTGTATGGAAGCTGGTGAATGGTTTTTGAAGCCTTAGGATGTCAGGGTCCAATTTTTCTGTATGTATGTGAAGTCAGTGTATATAGATACATCTTTTTTCTTGAAATTATAATTTGTAATTTTAAAATAAATGATCTACCTTTTCACTAAAATGTAAAGGTATATATACTTTGTTGCTAAGTGATTTTAACATCACCATATCAGAATTGAATAAATCGTTTCTATTATGTGGAGAAAAACAAAAATAAGGATTATTTGTGTGCTCACTGAGAGGTAGGTGTAAACAAACATTTGTTAAGGAAGAGTTAATTGATGGTGATTTATTAATTGGACTAGTGTAAGCTGCCAAACAAGTAGATCTCAAAATTCACAATGTACTTCTTTTTCATGTAAGTATTTCTCTATAATTATTCAGGGACCCTGGTTCCTTGACTCATGTAGCTCTGTCATCCTCTAGGCCAACTTTTCTCAGCCTGAGTTCTCTAGAAAAATAACTTCAGGAAATTGATTTGAGTAATTATATCACATTCATTGTGTACAGTGGATACTTTAGGGCATTAAAGTTTAATTCTCTTACTTGGAACCCTATTTGAGAAGGGTTATCTTAGGGCCTTGTGGTTATTTATATCCAAGTCAGTAGAAAAGAAAACGCTTTTGAAAGATGTGGTTTGGACAAAGTACTCTATCATTTCTGCCACATTCCCTTAGCTAACATGGCTACACCTTACTGCTTCCAGATGAGGAAATGTTATCTAGCATGTGGCTGTGAGGAAGACAAAGCTGCTGTTTATTCCAACAGCTCATAACTCCTTCCCTAAGAATTAAAATTGCCTTAAGGTAGTGTTCAGGGTTGCTACAGGATTACATTAGTCAGTCTTTAAATCTTTTGCATAGAAGAACTGGGGTGCAGGCCAGAGATGTGGGGGGTGGGGGTGAGAGGATTCACCAGAGACAGAGTGGGGAGCAGAACAGGCAGATTTACTCTGATGCACTGCTGAGGGGAGCAGTGGGAGAGACAGGAGAGGTCTGCTGCTGCATGTGGGTCAGCTCCCTGGCCAGGGATCAAACTGAGACTGTAGAGGTGATAGTGCTGAGACTTAATCCCTAGGCTACCAGGGAGGCCCTCAGTCTTTATATCTTAATGATACTCATAAGAAGTTAGGGAGAGTAGCCTTTCCCCTGTGGTGGTCCAATTTTACTCATTTCTTCCTTCTGGTCTTTTAGGATTACCTCTTCTATATTTGAAGTATGACCTTTATGGAGTCCTAATTTTAATGAAACTGTATACCCTGTCATACATTTGTTTTACATTTTCAACTTATAGACTAAAAAAACCCACATCTGCTGTATTTTTTTTTTTTTGTAATCCCCAAAATAGTAATATATACTTGCTTCAGAGATGAGGAAACCAAAGTGTAGAAGTTCATTGCTAGCCACAGTTACAGAATTACTGGCAAAACTTGAGTCTTGCCATTGAGTCTTGTTTATCTTAACCATAGACTAACCTGTACCTCTTGTTAGTTGGTGCTGGTTTAAAGTTGTATGATACCCCTTACTGTTAGGGACCTTAATAGAAAATCTCACCAAAGGTCATCTTTGTTCTTCAATCAAATTTACTTTTTAGAGTATAAAACAATATAAAGACATTCATGAGGAGGCTTGACAGGGTCAACAGTCAGCAAGATATCTTTAAATAAATAGTCTTTAAATAGTTATAGGGCCTCCCTGGTGGCGCAGCGGTTGAGCGCTGGGTTGCAAAGCTGCCCGCAGCCTCTACAGTGCCAGTTCGATCTCCAGCCACCAGCGAGGGTCCCACATGGCGCGCAGACCTCTCCTGCTGCCCACTGCTCCCCTCAGCAGTGTACTTTGT